TTTTTCTATTAGTCTGAGCTCTATTTGGTGCGGCCACATTTTGTTCTCCCTTCTAGCGTTTAGATCATTTTTGTTCTTAGTAGTTCATTTTATATTTTGTATAGCCCCTTAGGCTTAAGTGGTTTTGATTCTTTGTCCAACCACCTCAACCAAAAATAAAATAAAATAAAAAGAGAAGAAAATCTTTATTTGCTTGAAAGTGCTGAGCAGTACTAGCACCAGCAATAAAAGGGTGATTTGGTTGGTTCCAAATACAAGGTTTTTGAAAATTTAGATGTTTGGTTGGTGAAATACAAATGCAGAATGATGACTTAATGAATTCCCAATTCCATTATTAGTTCAATTTCAATGAATTCCAAATTCGCTAAAGTTGGGCGAACGAGGAATATATCACTTGAAAGGCACCGCTCGTGATACCTCTGCTCCACTCCATGAAAGGTATTACAGGATACCCTCGTGATAAACTTTTCATCCATTCTATTGATGTCGCGCTTGCCGCTTGTTCTACAAGTTTTCTAGCTATCCCTACTATTTCCGGCTATCCCACTTGCCTTGGGTATTTTACAATAATATCCAGATTTTATTTTCTTGTAACCAAATGCTAAAATGTGATTTTCACAATTTATTTCCCAGCCAACCAAACATCTCTAGTGTTTCAAACACAATATATTTGCATAAAATATGCCTGTATTCGAAATACCTTCAATCAAACAAGCCCTTGAATATCAGCACAAGAAGGCGGAAGTGATGCGTGATGGTGGGAATGTTGCAGGTCTAAACTTGATAGAAATTAAAGTCAAACGTATCTTTAGAAAGTTGCTTGCCTCATATCAATAATTTTTTAGTAGATTATTATCTTGATAAATAGCCACGCTAAGCTCTAAAATGAATTGATAGAATGTGTAATTTGAGATTTCATTATGGTCTGTTATTTAGTGAAATGCATCTGTGCTTCCCTACAGTACAATATTCTTTTTCAAAGAGGCCATGTTCGTCCCATTTCTTCAGCCCATCAAGGAAGAGCAACTGTGGTTCCTTCTTCTGATGACGATTCAATATCTGATACATATCAACCTCCTCCTCGGCCTTTACCATACGACGATCCCAGCTGCACAGTTTTGCGACCCGAATCTCAAACATCTGCATCAATTTTAGGTGCTGCAGAAGATTTTAAAAAATCAGACTTTGATGGGGATTCGAAGAAAACTTTCTCGGATTCTTCAGACGAGCAGCCATTAAAGCAACCAAGAACTGGTTTTGCTTATATTTTCTCCCAGGTTGAAGATGAAGATGTATGCCCCACCTGCCTTGAAGGTATGATGAGAATTAGCTTTTCATTTTTCACACTTTGACAGATTTGAATAGCCTTCTCATGATTTCAATCACATATGAAAGACGACACTTTTGAAAGGTGTTGGATTCTGAAAAATTGATATTCTTAACAGAATCAATTTGTGCACCAAAACCACATCTTGCTGAATAATGAG